ATAAAAGAAGACAGATAGATAGATAGATACATGGATAGATAGATAGATGATAGATAGATAGATAGATAGATAGATAGATAGATAGATAGATAGGTAGATAATAGATAGATAGATAGATAGATAGATAGATAGATAGATAGATAAATAGATAGATAGATAGATAGATAGATAGATAGATAGATAATAGATAGATAGATAGATAGATAGATAGATAGATAGATAGATACTGTAGATATATTCCCAATATCTACCTACTGTTTCTGTGCTCCAGTGCTGTCCCCAGCTTCCTCCTCGGTCTAGCTCCTTCACTCCTCTTCAGCCCTCCTGCACACGGGATGTTTTTACAGCTGCTGTTTTTGGCTTTTGACAGCCAGTAAACCCCCCAGCATGTTATCCTATGTGTCCATGCACACATAGACTGGAATCAGCGTTTGTTGGCTGGCAAAAAAACCCAGGACTAGTGGGTTTCTAGAGGAGTTTTTTAGCTGGAAAAACACTCTAACAATGAAAAACGTGTCAAAACGCGGTAAAAACGCAGCAAACCAGCATTTTTTGGAATTTTGTTTACTAAAAAAATAATTTTTTTTTTGGTAAAAAAAATGCTTAAAACCGCAAACACAGAAAAATGTGGAAAACGCCCCTAAATGTGGCTAAACACTAATGCAAAGCCGCTAAACAAAACTGAAAAATGCACGTTATCAACATGAGTTTACACAGCTAACGTTACCAGCGTTATGAAAACGTCCCGTGTACAAGAGGGCTCAGGCAGAACGATAGCTAGCCCAATTTGTTGTTTACATATGGCCCTCTAGGGGGTGCATCATCACGCAGACTGGGCTCACAATTCTCCAGGACTGAGTGGTACTCCACTTCATTAGGCAAGCTTGACTTGGGCCTCAAAGATTGGCCATCCCCCACACACTGCTAACGCAGCTTGAGGAAGTTGATGGGATGTCAATGTCTCCAGGCTGACTCAAGCACTTTAGGAAAAAAGGTATGCATATGTATTTTCTTTTCAAACAAATACCCTGGGGAGGGCTGGGGGGGGGGGGGGGTTGAGTGCGGGGTGGAGGGTGGTTGAGGGTGGGGTGGAGGGTGGTTGAGGGCTGGGTGGTGGGGGGTGGTTGAGGGCAGGGTGGTTGAGGGCTGGGGTGGTGGGTGATTGAGGGGGGGTGGAGGGTGGTTAAGGGCTGGGTGGGGGGTGGTTAAGGGCTGGGTGGTGGGTGGTTGAGGGTAGGGTGGAGGGTGGTTGAGGGCTGGGTGGGGGGTGGTTGGGGGGGGGGGGGGGTGGTTGAGGGTGGGGGGTAGGGGTGGTTGAGGGCTGGTTGAGTGCGGGGTGGAGGGTGGTTGAGGGCAGGGTGTTGGGGTGGTTGAGGGCAGGGTGGAGGGGGGGCTAAATGGGGGGGTGGTTAAGGGGCTGGGTGGAGGGTGGTTGAGGGTGGGGTAGAGGGTGGTTGAGGGCTGGGTGGGGCATGGTTGAGGGCTGGGTGGTGGGTGGTTGAGGGTGGGTTGGAGGGTGGCTGAGGGGCTGGGGGTGGGGGGGTGGTTGAAGGCAGGGGTGGAGGGTGGTTAAGGGCTGGGTGGGGGGTGGTTTGAGGGCTGGGTGGTGGGTGGTTGAGGGTGGGGTGGAGGGTGGTTGAGGGCTGGGGTGGGGGTGGTGGTTGAGGGTGGGGTAGAGGGTGGTTGAGGGCTGGGTTGGGGGGGTGAGGGGGAGTGTAGGTATATCCTGAAGTTTCTATAGCCATTGAGCTCTGACAAAGAGGGGACTTCCTTCGAAACACATCAGCACTGACTGACCCATGGGCATCTTTCCAATATATAAGAAGCTTGCATAGTGGTTGTAGCAGCTCTCCATGTGAATACCTAGGGTGGGCATGATATTTTTATTGGTTTGTAAGCATGATAACCTATTCTCCACTTAATAAACGGTATTTAAAGATAAGGGCGCCCTTTTTCTGTTTTTCTCTATATATAGCACTATAAGTGTATCTATAGCCATTTTTTTAGTTTTCAATAGAGAGAAAGGAAGGATATATATATATATATATATATATATATATATATGGCTTTTTTCAGTAGGAATGTGGGGGAACCCTCAACACTGAATGGGGTGCAGAAGTTTCTATTGATGCTGGCTACTGGGCGATTTATTGTAACTGCGGTATCATCTGTTGCTAGATAGTTCTATTGTTGCTGATGGGGGATCTATTTTTGCTAGAGGAATCTTATGTTGCTAGGGTGTCAATAATTGGTGGAAGGGATCTACTGTTGAGGAAGCAATCTATTGTAGCTGTTTGCTGGAGGGTGTCTTGATGCTGGCTGCTGGGAGATCTACTGTATTATTACATAGTGGGTCTAGTGTTGCTGGGGAGTATTTTTTTCTTGGGGGGGGGGGCAATTGCTGCTGGGAGGATCTATTGTTGATGGGTGAAATGTATTGTTGCCAGATGGGATCTATTGTTGCTGGGGGATTTATTGGTGCTGGGAATCTATTGTTGCTAGGGGGTCTATTGTTTCTTGAGATCTATTGTTGCTGGGGTCTGGTGTTACTGGTTGAGATCCATTGTTGCTGGGGGGATCTACTGTTGCTGGGGGGGTCTGGTCTTGCTGGCTGCAAAGGATCTTGCTTGCTTGTAGGTAGGGGATAGGGATAAGGGGTTACTCAGAAGGGGAAAGTACCTGCACCTATTCTCTGAAGAAAAAAATATATATATATATATTGTGGTTTTTTTTTTTTTTTTTTGCTACGTTCTGTTGGGGGGAGATTTTCCTTCACTTTTTGTCCCACCAAAAAAGCAACAGGAAGTGGTGTGGAAAGCAAGAAGAATTCCCCTCCTAGACAGTTGTCACTGACACAAGTGTCCACACTAGAAGATTTACCCCAACCTATGGCTCTGGTGATGATAACTGTATAGAGTCATTTTGCATTTTCCATCCCTTTTCATGGTTACCAAGACAAAAAGAAAGAGGGTGAATCTATGCAGCAGGGACACCAACAGAAATACAAACCTGACATGGCATCAAATCCTTCTCTACTATAGCCAGACCTTTAAAACAAAATGTTTGAACAATACATAATCTTAGTGGTCTATTTATAGAGAAAAAAATCACTGTGAAAATGGCTCAGCATTTACACAGTTGTCTGGAGTAATCCCCATAAAGCCTCTAATAAGTGTTTTGCTCATGATCATCAGCTCCATCTGGTGGCCATAGTGCTGTGTTGCCCTGATTGTGGTATTTCAGGAAAATACCACATTATGGCCACTAGAAGGAGCCGACAAACTTGGAATATACACATATAGACACATTACAGGAATAATTTGCATTGGCTGTACGAATGCTGAGTGATTTGTTTATGAACCGACCCCTTTAAGATGGTTTTGAGAGGCTACTAAAGTGTATGTCCAGCCAAAGCTTTTTTTTTTTATCAGTTTTGTATAGAGTGGGGAAGGATTAGAACCCCTGTTAGTTTTTGCTGCTATCTGGGGTTCTGTTTTTAGAGATTTCCCTATACTGCCTGTCCTGATGCCAATGTTAGGAATTGAGGGGAATGCTGCAATACCAACGTAGAAAGAAATAATAATGATTTTCTTTAGGAAAGTAGGGGACGGCTAGAACCCAGTCTGATTTTTTTTTATTACACAGCGTGGAAAGTGTCAAAAACAGTCCAGATTTATTTTGATCCAGGCTGGTCTGTCATAAAAAGCCATCTCATTTTGGGGTGGTAACTAGTATGAGGGGGGTAATTAGTATGATTGTTCCAGTTGTTGGGGCGTCCGGCTTAACCGGCATCTGGAGTGATCCTAAAAATTACCCCTCGGGATTCCTTCCTTTTATTTCTATCCAATCACGCTCTCTGAACATTGCCCTTCCAGCTCCACCCCCACCGGAAGTGACCTGTACATTAACCTCTTCACCTCCCTTTGTGCATGACCTGTACATCAATGTACTCTAGTAAATCTAAATCTAGTGCGCCATTACACCAGCTCCATGTTTTAAGCCCCTCAATACCAGTGTGTTTCCAATTTCCAAACAACTGTGGCAAATGGAGATCACCTTGGGATGTCTACTTTCCAAAAAAGGGGTCATTTTAGGGGTGTAAAGGCAAGTAGTTAATAAATACCCACCAAAACAAAGCTCAAATGGTTGAACGATTGAATGACTGTCAGACAAATATAAAGAGCATTGAAAACCCTAAAAATATGGCCTGGCAATTAAAAGGTATATTCTCGAGCTGTTAAAGTGTTTACTATACCTCAGACCCTGCATTCACTATATCTGGTCTCCCCGGACCCTGCATTCACTATATCTGGTCTCCCCGGACCCTGCATTCACTATATCTGGTCTCCCCCGGACCCTGCATTCACTATATCCGGTCTCCCCGGACTCTGCATTCACTATATCCGGTCTGCTCCCCCGGACCCTGCATTCCCTATATCTGGTCTCCCCGGACCCTGCATTCACTATATCTGGTCTCCCTGGACTCTGCATTCACTATATCTGGTCTCCCCGGACCCTGCATTCCCTATATCTGTCTCCCCGGACCCTGCATTCACTATATCCGGTCTCCCTGGACCCTGCATTCACTATATCCGGTCTCCCCGGACCCTGCATTCCCTATATCAGGTCTCCCCAGACCCTGCATTCCCTATATCTGGTCTCCCAGGACCCTGCATTCATATATCTGGTCTCCCAGGAGGACCCTGCATTCACTATATCTGGTCTCCCAGGAGGACCCTTCATTCACTATATCTGGTCTCCCAGGACCCTGCATTCACTATATCTGGTCTCCCAGGAGGACCCTGCATTCACTATATCTGGTCTCTCAGGACCCTGCATTCACTATATCTGGTCTCCCCGGACCTTGCATTCACTATATCTGGTCTCCCAGGACCCTGCATTCACTATGTCTGATCTCCCAGGACCCTGCATTCACTATATCTGGTCTCCCAGGAGGACCCTGCATTCACTATATCTGGTCTCCCTGGACCCTGCATTCACTATATCTGGTCTCCCCGGACCCTGCATTCACTATATCTGGTCTCCCAGGAGGACCCTGCATTCACTATATCTGGTCTCCCAGGAGGACCCTGCATTCACTATGTCTGATCTCCCAGGACCCTGCATTCACTATATCTGGTCTCCCAGGAGGACCCTGCATTCACTATATCTGGTCTACCCCAGGACCCTGCATTCACTATATCTGGTCTCCCAGGACCCTGTGTTCACTATATCCGGTCTCCCCAGACCTTGCATTCACTGTATCTGGTCTCCCAGGACCCTGTGTTCACTATATCCGGTCTCCCCGGACCCTGCATTCACTATATCCAGTCTCCCACAGTACACAGAACATGGAAAATGCAATTATTTTAGTAAATATAAACTGCTAAATACCTTTTCTCATCAGCAGTTAGAGCAGAGCATTGGTTAAACCTTGCAGAAAGAGTTTTCTTTCTGCTCCAGGAGGATGTGAAAGTCCTGACCCTCTGCTTGGATAGTGCTGATTGGCCCTGTGCTGATCACATGCACTCTCCAAAGAAAAAAAAAAAAAAACCTCTCTAGCAATACACACCAAACTGAGCATGTGTGTGACTACGGGGTTCAGCCTGTATCAGGTGGTTATTTCAACAAGAGAAGGGGCAGAGAAAACAGGATCAAACAACCTTTTTACACAGTGCAGAGGAATAACCCCCTTAGGTTCCACAGTGAGTATAACAAGCATGCTTTACTGCATCTACAGACTGATTTTACTGTTGTGGATTTAGTAACACTTTAAGGGTTCAATAGGCTTCAAAAGGCTCCAGAGGGTTATAAAAGCTCCCGACCTGAGTTATTAGTCAATAAAAACTCAAATTAACAAAATGAAAGCACTAATACATGAATAACAATCAAAGCACAACACAAAACAACAACCAAACAAATCAAAGTACACAATCAAAGCACACAAAAAAAGTCAATAAAAAACTTGAATAAAAAAAAAATGAAAGCACTAATACACGAATAACAATCAAAGCACTCACAAAAAAAACGGAATAAACCAAACAGCAAAGCGCATTAAATTGAAAAAACGTAATGTTTGTTACCCCAACATTTCATATTTCCGATACATGTCTGTTGTACCATGTACTTGTGTTTTAAAAAAGTCTCCTGTTCTCTTTGTATTTCTTCCTTTGTGTGAAATACCTGGTGTTCCTGCCAGTCCCTCTGCTTTCCTATTTCAAACTACTGACCACACTAGGCCTAAAAACACATCCATCACAGAGTGGTCAGTTTTTTGGCTGTGCTGGAAGAAGGATGGAACCGACTGACTGATCGGTTCCATACCCTGATGAAGTGCATGCGCGCGTAACGCGTAAGGAGGGGCCAGGACGTCGTGATGCTACGCCGCCGGAGCCATGTGGAGGCCCGGTGGCCATCTTTGATTTTCTACAGGTTAGATTCACTCCTATGCCCTGATGCTGTTTTTAGCTCCTGTTTGTTTGCAAACATATTCTTAACCTATAAACATACAATTTTCAATACTACACTATGGGCATCCTTCCCTGACTCCCCGAGAGGAGTATTTATCCACAGAGCCCTTGCCAAGAGGAGGAAGACTTGCTGTTAGCAGACAGCTCCATCCATCCCCCAAACAGGAACCTCTGGCTATCTGGATTCAATTAATCCTGACTTCTGGGCACCTGATGATGACCACCCTGAGGGAGGACTACCATATTTGACCAGACCTATACCTGATGAGGATATATCTAGACATAATATATAACGCGTATTATTATATTTCTGGTGAGTGCGCAATTTCTACTATTACCCACGGAGCACCACCATTGAGTCTACCGGTCATTTGGCACTTTACAACTGCACAGACTGCTCAAATTGAATCATATTTTAATCATTGCGAATACTTATTGTCAATTTGTAGCATTGCACTATTTACACAGAGGTGTGTACGTAATTTTTTTTTTTTTTTTTACACAAATTTTGTCTAGACACCTTGATGACCAAAGCTGAGTTTCCGGTTAGGTGAAATTAAACTTCATTGATAGTAAAAATCAGTAATTTTGCATCAAAATCACTCACCCCTAGCGCACAATAAACACACAGAGGTATGTACGGAAATATTTATTTTTTTACACAAATTTTGCCTAGACACCTTGATGATCAAAACTGAGTTTGCTGCTTAGGTGAATTTAATCTTCATTGATAGTAAAAATCAGTAATTTTGCATCAAAATCAAGCTTAAGAAATTCACTGCACTCACCCCTAGAGTACAATAAAAACACGGAGGTATGTACATAAATATTTATTTTTTTACGCACATTTTGCCTAGACACCTTGATGACCAAAACTGAGTTTCCACTCAGGTGTGAAATTAAACTTCATTGATAGTAAAAAGCAGTCATTTTGCATCAAAATCACTCACCCCTAGTGCACAATAAACACACAGAGGTATGTACGTAAATATTTATTTTTTTACGCAAATTTTGCCTAGACACCTTGATGACCAACGCTGAGTTTCTGGTTAGGTGAAATTAAACTTCATTGATAGTAAAAATCAGTAACTTTGAATCAAAATCACTCACCCCTAGCGCACAATAAACACACAGAGGTATGTACGTAAATATTTATTTCTTTATGAAAATTTTGCCTAGACATCTTGATGAGCAAAATTGAGTTTCTGCTTAGGTGAATTTAAACTTCACTGATAGTAAAAAATCAGTAATTTTGCATCAAAATCAAGCTAAGAAAATCACTGCACTCACCCCTAGTGCACAATAAACACACGGAGGTATGTATGTAAATATTTATTTTTTTACGCAAATTTTGCCTAGACACCTTAATGACCAAAACTGAGTTTCCACTCAGTGGGTGAAATTAAACTTCATTGATAGTAAAAATCAGTAATTTTGCATCAAAATCAAGTTTAAGAAAATAATTGTGCTTACCCCTAGTGCACAATAAACACACGGAGGTATGTACATAACTAAATGTGCAGCACAGTGGCTAGCACTTCCACCTGGCAGTACTAGGGTTGCTGGTTCAAATCCCAGCCATTGTTAGCCCCTGCCTGGAGTTTGCATGTTCTCCCTGTGCCTGCGTGGGTTTCCTCCGGGTACTCCAGCTTCCTCCCACACTCCATAGACATGCTGGTAGGTGAATTCTATCCTGTTTAAATTGGCCCTACTATGTGTATGTATGAATGTGAGTTAGGGACCTTAGATTGTACGCCCCTTGAGGGTTAGGGACTGATGTGAATGTACAATATATATGTAAAGTGCTGTGCAAATTGATGGTGCTATATAAGTACCGGAAATTAATAAATATTTCTTTTTTTATGCAAAATTTGCTTAGACACCTTGATGAGCAAAACTGAGTTTCCGCTTAGGTGAAATTCAACTTAATCAATTGTAAAAATCTTGCATCAAAATCAAGTTTAAGAAAATCACTGCACTCACCCCTAGCGCACAATAAACACACGGAGGTATGTATGTAAATATTTATTTTTTTTAAACGCAAATATTGCCTAGACACCTTGATGAACAAAATGGAGTTTCAGCTTAGGTGAAATTAAACTTCATCAACAATAAAAATCAGTAATTTTGTGTCAAAATCAAGCTTAGGAAAATCACTGCACTCATCCCTAGTGCACAATAAACACACAGAGGTATATACTTACCTATTTTTTTTTTCAGCAAATTTTGCCTAGACATCTTGATGAGCAAAATTGAGTCTCCACTTGGGTGAAATTAAATTTCAGTGAGGAAAATCACTCATCTCTAGTGCACAATAAACACACAGAGGTATGTACATACATATTTTTTTTATGCAAATTTTGCCTAGACACCTTGATGAGCAAAACTGAGTTTCCTCTTAGAATAAATTAAACTTCACCGATAGTAAAAATCAGCAATTCTGCATCAAGTTTAAGGAAATCACTGTACTTACCCCAGTGCACAATAAACACACAGAGGCATGTACGTAAATATTTATTTTTTACGCAAATTTTGCCTAGACACCTTGATGAGCAAAACTGAGTTTCCTCTTAGATGAAATTAAACTTCACCAATAGTAAAAATCAACAATTCTGCATCAAGTTTAAGGAAATCACTGTACTTACCCCAGTGCACAATAAACACACAGAGGTATGTACGTAAATATTTATTTTTTACGCAAATTTTTCCTAGACACCTTGATGAGCAAAATCGAGTTTCCTCTTAGATGAAACGAAACTTCACCAATAGTAAAAATCAGCAATTCTGCATCAAGTTTAAGGAAATCACTGTACTTACCCCAGTGCACAATAAACACACAGAGGCATGTACGTAAATATTTATTTTTTACGCAAATTTTGCCTAGACACCTTGATGAGCAAAACTGAGTTTCCTCTTAGATGAAATTAAACTTCACCAATAGTAAAAATCAGCAATTTTGCATCAAATCAAGTTTAAGAAAATCATTGCACTAATCCCTGGAGCACAATAAAAAGAATATGAATAGGCAAGTACAATTTGTTTATTGTTTTTACGCAATTTTTTCCTAGACAGCTCGATGAGCAAAACTGAGTTTCCACTTTAGTAAAATTAAAGGGTAAAAATCAGTAATTTTTCGTCAAAGCCAAGTTTAAGAAAAACACTTCACTCCTCCCTATATGAGCATGTGTAAACCTTTCTTTTCTTTTTTTTTTCTTTACGCAAATTTTGCTTAGACGTCTTGATGAGCAAAATTGAGTTTCTGCTTCAGTCAAACAAAATTCTACCAACAGTAAAAATCAGCAATGTTGCATCTAGCTGAAGGAAATCTCTGCACTCATCCCTAGTGCACAATAAACACACAGAGGCATGTACTTCAGAGCTCAGGAATAATGTTCATACTAGCAGCAGAGAGAGAGGTAATCAGCACTAATCAGAGTGCATGGACTGAGATGGGGTGGGGGGGGGGGATGCTTTCAGTGCTTTGCTAGCAATCTGCATACACTGAAAGTGTGTCAGTGGATCTATTGCCCACATTGTCTCTTATCCAGCATCCAGCATAGTCCCCCATGTGACAAGGCTTTTTTTTTTCTTGAATGGGAAATAGGAGGGATGCAAGTTTGCTGGTGGCTGGGATGGCCATGCATTATGCAACTCACTGACTGACAGTCTGCAGAGCTGTGGGTCACTTCAGGCAGTGACTGCGGGTCAGGATGGGCAGAGTCTGCCAGTGAATCCAGCCCTGCTTCATTGCATACTGTACAGGGACAGCTTGGCAGGGAAGGCAAAGTGTACTGTACAGAGACAGCTTGGCAGGGAATTGTAAGTGAGAGCTCCCTCCCTCATACAGGAGAATTGTCGGGAATCTCTATGCTGGGATCGTGCTAGACTTCAGCACCCTGGACAGCCCTCAGCTGCTACACAAGATCCACCAAGGCATCTGCTCAGGGTGCACCCTACAAGATTGGGGGTTGGGGGGTCTTCTTGTTGAACCCTTTTTTTGCCACCATGTGGACTTCTGGGGAGCTTTGAGGGGCTTGAAATGAAAATGGTTGAATGTCAAGAGGGAAAGTGCGGGACTACACTGCAAGACTGCTGAATTCCCAGCACCGGCTGT